GAGCTTAATGATTGTGTGATTCAGGAGTGATAGGGGGGGGTCCCTTCAAGGTATTCAGGATTAGCAGCAATTAATTTCACTCCAATGAAGGGCCAACGCTCAAAACGTCAGCTTTTATAATCGTAACGGTGGCCAATTTACCATTTCAACTTTGTTGATATATTGAAATTATTTCGTTAACCCCATCGATGCAGCCCCAGTTTCTTTAGAAACTATCAGCCTTTATTCAATTAATTTTAGGGTTGACTTTAAATCTTACCATTATGAAGTACACATTCTGATTGATGTGAGCACCATCCAAACTCCTGTTTTTCTGCAATGACCTCCCAGCCAAGTCCATAGCCACCAGCTCCATCACCTTGACCTTCTGTGTTAGCCACAATTTTCCAGAGTTCAGTTACAGTATGAGGTTTAAGAAATCCAGGAAGATAGCCTGTAAAAAATTGATTAATTTATTATTACTCAGATGAATCATCTGCAATTTTTTTTATTCATCTCCCATCCAAGTCACTTTTATCTTAGCTCCCTAACTTTAATAATATTTTGCCTCCTTTGAGTTGAGAGTGATTTTTCACAGTACAAAAAGACTTGATCATTTTACTCTCAGTGGTAATCAGTGCCTACACTCTCCTCTCAGTTATAATACACTGTCAAACAGACACCTGATGAAAGTTACAAAAAATATCAACTTTGACATGTTGTATCTATTAGATTTAATGTCAAAATCTCAGGACTGGTACATTCAGAAGTTCTCATATCTTGTGAGTGAAAACTACTATTGAACAGGTAAAGTCAGTTTACCCCCCCCCTCCCCGATCTAGACCTAAAGTTAACCATACCGGATGCTTCCTTGCTGTCCACCTCTCCTATCTGTTTGGCATAAAGCAAAGAATTCCCAAATTGGATCAGATCTTTGACAGTGGAAAGGAAACCCCCGCCTGCCCACTTGCATGAGTTGTCTACATATGGTGTATTCATAAGACGTCCTTTACAATTGCGTTGATAAAATCTGCATCAAATGAGAGAGATCATTTTCATTAAATGTTCAGAATAATTCAGGAGCACTTGTATTTCCTGGCAGGTTTTCAACAATAACTAAAAGAAACTAAGAAACTGTGGTAGGTATTTTGATTTAGTCTTGTGAACATATATATAATAATATTAATGCCAAAAAATAAGATAGATCATCATTGATTGCTTACTAGAATATGTAACATGACTTAACCTTGCTCTGTTCATAATAATTGTATCATTGAATTCAGCACATGTGTTTTCCATGCCCAGATCTTTAAACAGTTTTTTCATAAAAAGAAGAAAGTCTTGTCCAGATATACTCTCTACAACAGCACTTAGTAAAGTCCAACCATGCGTGGTGTATAAAAAACTTGTACCAGGATTGGATAGGAGCGGGTCATCTTTAAAAATGGCTATTGCCTCAGAGACTGATTTGTAGTGGTCCTAAAAAAAAACTGAATAAGTTTAAAATTGAACTGATATATGCATCAATCTCTGAAACAATTTTATAGGGAATGTAGCTGTATAACTAGCTTACAACAGTCTGCTTATAACAATTACTTAACAAAGAATATGACCAGGAAGTGTAATAGACACTGCAAGCTTACTGAAAATGGGCACCTCAGACAATTATTTTGGTATATGGAAAGAACAAAATATATAAGAGGACAGGCAAGTTTAATAAAACACTCTCCTAATAAGGAACTTTCTCTGTAGATTCTTAAAGCTAGACGAGTTATAGAACAAGATCAGACTATAGGGTCCTAATGAGGGAGTGCTTGAACCCAAAATATTATTTCCACATGCAGTACTGTGACTGATATATCTTTCTCTGTCCAACTATTATCAAGCAGTTAATTACTGGCATTTTGTGTATTATACCTATCAAACTGTCAATTGAGTGGAGGAAAGAGTGTCAAAGGTATCCAGAAGGGAGTACGATGAAAGGAGTACTTCAAACAAAGAGCACGGAAGGCTGCTGCCATGTTAAAAAATGTCAAGTGGAGGGATGTTATCCAGGAGTTATTTCCCTACCTTACTGTAGAATTCTTCAAACTGTGAATCACCTCCTCGTCTACAAGTGCAGCCATCACTCACTGTACCTAGAACAAATAACCTGACACTTTTGAGAGTTGACGAACATTTGATGTAAGAACATGCAAACACCAAACAAACTCCTCACTTTAAGTTTAAAAGTTCAGTAAAATGGACCATAGAAATTAACAGAAAAAAAAAACTAGGAATCGAAACATTACAAGACTGAATATCAAAGTACATGCACATTCCCAACTGTCCCACTTACCTCTTTTCTCTTTGTTTGTCTCATTTTCTTCACTGGATGCTGTTGGTTTTTGGTAATGTCTTATTCCACCAAGGTGAGACAATAAGTGTCTGGTTGTTAGTGTGACTGGGGAGCCACTGAAAGACTTCTCAGGAAATGATGTGACATATTTTTGGATTGGTGCATCAAGGTCTAATTTACCTTTTTCCCACAGCTTGGCTGACAAATAATGGATGAAAAATGTTGGATATGCTAGAGAGATCATGGTTCAAATCCTACATACATGTATATAATCTCTTGACATCCTTTACCCTTTACACCTCAATTAACATCAGTATGTATATTCTCAAATGAATGCTGTTCTCTATACATTTCCAAGGTTTCTGAAAAGGAGAATTTGTGTAATGGCAAGAGCTTCTTTAGTTGGTGATCATTCCTTTATTCTCGTGAGCTTAATGATTGTGTGATTCAGGAGTGATAGAAGATAGTTATTCTGATTGTGTGACTCAGGAGTGATAGAAGATACCTATTCTTGAGGGTCAAGGGGATAATAGGAAAGGGATAAGAGACATTTCATCCATTGAGTACTGAAAAGCAATGATCATGGATGGCCTGTTTTTCTCTTCTTCGCTGTTTAAACAGTTTGAGAAACTTACTCTACCTTCTTAAAACAATAATAGTTATGAAAATACAACAACACTACATGTCAATGTGGTAACTTGCTATTGTCACTGGCTCCTTGTGATACCATCCCTTGTTCTGATTGACTGCTGTGATTACTTAAGCAATGGGTTTTACTATTTTTTTTTTACTCTCAATGATAAAGTGTCCTATTTCTCACTAGTAATCTGAAATTTTCCTTAAGGAAAATATGCCAAATAGAACAATACAAGAAAAATTTGTGTAAGAGAGCAGAAATGGTTTGCATGTGTCTTCTGACTTGTATCAGTGATTAAATCAAGTGCTTCCTATGCAAGCTAATTTTCATTCCTTTTGATTTCAGAGAACACCTACCTACAGCTGTTGCAGTAAAAGGCTTACTGATACTTGCAATTCGCATGACAGTTTCACTGGTACACAACACTCTATTCTCTACATCTGCAAACCCAAATCCTTCACTCCAAACAGTTTTTCCATCTAGGCTAACAGCTATACAAACTCCTGGGCAACCAATTTCTTCCTTCATACATTTTATGATATGCTGTGATTCCTCTATGGCAGATTGAATGGTCCAATAGGAATTGCCATATATATTTTCTTCTCTTTTGTTCTTATTTCATTGTTAAGGGAAAGAATATTTCAGTTTTCAAGAATTCAATAGTTTCCAGTCATGAACAACAAAGCACTATAATTTGCAATGTATCCAAACTCTCAGAATTGTTGACTCTGAATAACTTAACTTAGCTATGCAGATATTGTAAATGAAAAATAATGACACATTATCACAATTGGGAGCGTAAGGGGTCATGCACTACTCGCTGCAATTTTCTCTTCAAAATATGGGGTACTTCCAGGTAATGATAAGTGTACAGTTAGGTAGGGCACCCCTATAACATATGTATGTGTCCTAAGCTTTCAGTCGTGTTTCCCATCAATGAATACTATTTGCTGATGTAAAAAACAAATTACGTCAAACAATCCACTTCTCTAAATCACGGATCTACTATTTGACCATGTCTATTGCAAGTCTCAGTCGGGATAAGTCCACGGTTCTGTCCTCGTGTACCGGTTCACAAGATCCGATACAAAAGACCGAACAATACACAACAGCTAACCAATGACTCCTAAACAAAGAAAGAACAATGGTAATTCCCTCGTGAACCGGTACACCAGGACAGAACCAAGTCTACGTTTTCAACTCAGTCCGTAGTCCTCATTCCACGTCTAATATTTTCATACTGATCCCATTCAAAAGGTCATTACATCTTAAGGATACGGGTACTGGCAATGGAAATTTATTTTCTTTTTCTTCGCTCTCTTTTTTGTTGAACGAGGCCTCTATTGGTGACGTCTTTCTTTGTTTCTTTCCATAAAAAATTCCGGAAAATCCAAGTAGACCACCAAGTCCAAAACCAAGAAAAAAGGCGATGTTCGGTGATCTCTTCCCTGTTTCCACGGAATTTAACGGATGCTTAGTAAAGTGGCTTAGATCTCTCACACTTCCTAAAATTCTACAGCTCGGTAAGGACTGTGAAACTCTTTTGAGATACAGAACCGCCATTTAGCAGCAATGGCTGTCCCCTAGTCCTCCTTGAGGATCTGGTCATCTCATCCCTTGGGGTCCTGGGGATGAGATGGCCATTTATTTTTACGACTGCGCTGTAGAAGAAAGAGAATGAAAACAAAATGGAGGCCAAATCGATCATCGTTAACAATCGCAATAAATGGAAATGAAATGCAGATGATACGCGACCCTTCATCATGATATTAGCTTATGTTGTAGGAATAGTTTGCCTTTTGCTGTTAGCAGGCGTCTTTTTGGGAAGGTATGTAATGTATGGTCCACCTCGCTCAATGGATGTGTTGATGTTTTTTTTCTCGATTTGTCAAGTTGGCAACATAAATGCGTGAAATAAGTTAATAGTTTTTGGACAGATCGCTTGATTGAAGGAAAATAAATGTTTAAATATATTCTAAACTGTAGTCGTTTTGAATGCATGAAACCCCTTAAATGGTTAGCCACAATCTAATGTGGCTATGGTGTTTTTTTTTTAAAGGTTCCTTGCTTGGCTTTTGGAGATCTTTGCTCAGCATGTTCTTCACCTGGATCTAAAAGTTGACACACTTGGCTTATTTGGTGCAAATGGTATTGAGATAAAGTTCAAGAATGGGTTGAAAATTGTAAGTTAAAATTGTAAGCTGCTGCACGAGGATGCTAGTCTGCAGAACTCTGTTTTGAGAGGTTAGAGGGTTTGATCATTGGCCAAGGGGCTGTTTTTCGAGGTTTTGGTAACTTAAAAGCCCTGTAAAGCTGTTTGTTTTCCATCAAGATGGGGGTTTCCAAAGTTTTGAAAATTATGGTACAAGAAAACTGACAGCCAAGGAAAGAAAATCAACTGGTTAGGGTGCTACAACCTACTAATCTAATCTTAAGATTTTGATTTCAAAATATGGCCTGAGGTCCACTAAGTTGCTGAAGCTTTTGAGAAATTGGCCTCAGGTCATTGTGCCTTTTTATGAGGCCTAGTGTCATGTGGGCAAGGTGAAAACCAAATCAGTGGAAGGGTTTTTATTTGGTAGTTTTGTGTTAATGGGGGCCTTGGGGTGAGAGAAAGAGAAAACTTTATTAGGTGCTCCCCAAGGGGCTTTTCAGCATCTATTTACATAACTTCATCAGATTAATAATATCAAACACTAATGACTATTTGCATTTATATAGCTAATTATATCAAAACTAATAACTGTTTGCAAGAATGTGGCTCTTAAGTTTCTCCTTAAATGCCTTTAGGGAGGCACACTGTTTAGTGGGCTGTGGTTAACAGCTCTTGTCAAAGGTGACCTAATTAGGTGTGAAACTCAGATCGCTTGATCTAGAGTTTAACACACTAACCTCAGGAAAAGCTTTGAAATGAGTCAAGACACACATGTGCATTAAAAGAGTCTTTCTAATGCATGATTATTGAGTTAATGATAAATGTGCTTAATACCATTTACACTTTTAGACCATTTTGTTTCCTGTAGGGAATAGAAAAGATATGTGTTCACTGCAAGTGGACTCTAACTGACTCCAAGTAAGAGTAATATTATTCAGAAAATAGTCAATGTCATATTGATTTTGCAATTGTGGAAAACAAACATTTTTGAGGAAATGAGATATGCTAACTGGTTGGGTAAGGGTTGAAAGGTTTTCAGACAGGCTACTAATCAAGAATTTATAACCATTTTGTAGGAGGCTTTTTACAGTGTTCTTAAGAAGCGTTGTTATCGAGGTAATAAAGATTGAAGTTGACAACAATGGTACCCATCATCTGGATCAGGCATCAAGCCATAGTAGTTCATCAAAAAACTTTGGTATACGTCATATGAAGTACTTTTCTTTTATCAATAGTCAATAATACACTAAAATTTTTTTATTAATGTCTGGTATTGAGGAGTGTCCTGAAAACACAGACCCCCACGGACCTGGTCCATAGACCCCTGTACGGACCGGTCTATGGACCCCCCTTTACAGAACCCCATGAAAAGACAATAATAACAATGACAACTTTTAGAGATTTGACTTATCGTTGTTTTTTTATTTGTGGTGGCAAAATTTTGACTGTTAATATTCCAAATATTACTGTGGCAATGAAAGGAGTGATGTTATGCAATGATATGCAATGTGATGATATGCAATGATATGCGCAGGACATCATGGGGGTCGGATGCAGACTCAGCCTCTCTGCGAACATTTGTATATTTCTCTGCATTTATGTGTCTTTTGTAAACTACAAGTCCTTATATCTGCAGAAGAGCACTTTTCTAAACGACAGTGATGTGTATTTTGTCTCAAAAGTGAGCTGCAGAACTGAAATTGCGGGTAATTTACGTCAACAGAGGAATCCGTCTGGAGATAAAGAGCTTAGTAATTCGCTCAAAGCTGTTATGCTTTGTAAGCTCTTTCATCGAGCCTGTTTTGCCCTAGCTCTAATTGCTCTGGCCAGTGATATTGAATCTAACCCTGGCTACCAGACGCTACACGACATAAGGAACATTCGTGGACTGAAAATTGCTCACTTAAACATTCAAAGTCTCGTACGCAAGACTGACTCTTTGCGCCTTGAGGGAATCGACAGTAAAACAGTGGACATTCTAACTCTATCCGAGACATGGTTGTATGGGAATATTTGCGACACAGAAGTTAATCTTCCTGGATTTGTGTGCGTTCATCACGATTGCACTGGCATTAAAGAGGGATATGGTGGTGTAGCTATCTATGTGAGAGAAGGTTTGACTTTTCGCCTGCGGAATGATATTAATACTGGCGGTCAGGAATGTCTATGGATCGAGTTGATTAGAGACAAATGCAAGCCAACACTTGTCTGCTGTGCTTATAGAGCACCGGATTCTGACTTTCAGACTTTTATTTCTTCACTACATGAGAGTATGTCATCTGTGGATCTGGAAAAATCAGATGTGGTAATTCTAGGCGATTTTAACGCAGACATGATGGCGAGTTCTAGATGGGCAAGAAGAGATAAACAAGAACTTCTTAACTTTTCCTTGGCCAACAACTTCACTCAGTTAATAAAAGAACCGACGCGCATAACTGACACCTCATGGACAATGATTGACTTGCTCTTTGCTAATAATGAACACCGCATTGTCAAATCTGGTGTTGTTCCGGTACCGCTCAGCGACCATTTTCTGGTATTTTGCATAATTAAACCTGGTATTACAGCAAAGGCTAAACCGAGAATACTCGAGAATCGCTCCTATAAAAATTTCAATCCGACTTTATTTAATGATGATCTTAGGGATATTCCCTGGCATATTGTTGAAAACGAGGACAACGTCGACGATGCCTTGTTTGTGTGGAACAAAATGTTTTCGGGGGTTGCTGATCAACACGCACCAGTGAAACGAAGGCTTGTCAAGGGAACGCCTCTTCCATGGATGAACAGTCAAATAAGTGATACTATGAAAGAACGTGACTGGGTGCATAGAAAGGCGCGAAAATCGAACTCGGCGCGTCTTTGGTCAATGTATGCAAAGCTTAGGAACAAGGTTAATGGCTTAGTACGTACTGCCAAGTCTAAATATTACAGTAACATGACCGAGGAAGCAAATGATAAGTCAGAAAAGGTGTGGAAAGCAGTGAACGAAGCATGCAATCGGAACTCATCTTCAGAGAGTATTCAGTATATTATCTCTGATGGCGTTCAGCATATAACATCCCAATCCATTGCTTCTTCAATGAATAGCTTCTCTGCTTCCATTGGTCGAATTCTAGCAAATAGAATACTGACTTCCACCTTGAATTTAAATTCCATTTCAAAACACCCACTTTTCCAGTTCGATTTGACTGAATTGGATCAATCGTTTGTGCTTGAGCAGCTTTTGTCATTGAAGGCAAACAAAGCAATTGGTCTTGACAAAATTAGCGCTAGAGTTCTTAAAATCTCAGCTCACACTATTGCACCATCTGTTAAACTTTTGAATCTTTCAATTCGCACTAGTCAATTTCCCAAATTGTGGAAATGCACGAAAATCACGGCATTGGTTAAGTCAGGTGACAGGACTAACGTTTCCAACTACCGCCCCATCTCAATCCTCCCTACACTAAGTAAGATTTTGGAGAGAGCAGTACACTTGCAGCTGTATCAGTACTTGATTACCAATAATTTATTGTCCAACAAGCAGTTTGGTTTCCGGAAGGGTCTCTCAACTACAACAGCTTTGACCTCATTTGCCGATGAGGTGCTCTTAAACATGGAACAAGGAAAGCTTTGCGGGGCTGTGTTCATTGATCTAACCAAGGCATTTGACACGGTAGACCATCAAATAATGTTATGCAAGCTATCCGAGATCGGCCTTTCTGAAACAGCTCTTTGCTGGTTCCATTCTTACTTAACTGGTAGACAACAGCGCACCTCATGTGGAAATGAGTTATCTGAGGAACTTCCAGTCACGCATGGGGTGCCACAGGGTAGCATTTTAGGGCCTTTGTTATTTGTGATTTACATAAATAACTTGCCAAATGTGCTTAACTCCTGCTACGTGTCACTTTATGCAGACAGTACTGTGATTTATTGCTATGGTACATCCTCAAAGGAGTTGAGTGATAAGTTAAATAACGATCTACTAGGTGTGGCGAAATGGCTTCATGATCA